ACAATTAATATTTTTGTATAGGTTTTTAATATAATAATATATATTTAAAAAAAATTGAGCCAAAACCTTAACAAAATGCTTAAAATATAGCTCAAAATGCAACCACTAATTAAACAAGTTACAAATTGCCTTTAGATCACAAGCTCTAATTTCAACTTTCAATATCTTCTTTATTCTAATTTTAAATTTATCAAGTTATATATATAAAGTATAGTCAAGAAAGGTTTTTCTTCAATCCTAGTCATTAATCTATTATTTCTTTTTATATGTAAGCTTTGTGCTTCAAAGAATGATATTAGATTCAAAATCAATACTTTGATTTTGAGTACTTATATTTCTTTTATAAAAACATGAATCATTAAAGTTTTACAATAAAGCTATATCTAAAATCCTAAACTTTCTAATTCTAACCTCTAATGTTTGAATGGCCTCAAAAAACTAATCCCAATAAGACCTTAGACAATCTTATTGAAGCCTATTGGGCATAACTTTTGGCCAATAGGATTAGAGATTTCTATCATCTATCTCCATCCATCTACATGGGTGGCCTAACTATTTGTTTCTATATAAAGATTTCTCTCTAATCTTTTTTTTTTTAATATGTTTTATATAATATGTACTCTAAATATCAAATAAAAAAAATAAAACAAGATTTTAAGAATATAATAATATCTAATAAAGATGAAACTAAGTATAGATAAGTTTTCTTCAACATAAAGTCAACCTCAAAAGTCACAATTAAAATAAAATAAGGTTTGACAAACCTCAATAGTAGTCCTTTAAAATTGAACCATATCAAATTATTAATCTAATTACATTTTGAAATGAATAAAAATCCATTAATATAGCTCTTATTATGTTGTACAATAAATTATATATATATATATATATATATATATATATATCTTTATATGATAGCTAAATTATATTATGACAATATAATACCAAAATAAAAAGAAAACTGCTTAGTAGATGCTTCTTTTTTATTACATAGACGTCTCAATGTGCCATGTATCTATAAACATATATAATAAAACCTTTATTCATACTAAAAAATTTAAGGATAAATTTATACTAGAATATTTGTATAAAATGGCTTTTGATTTTTTTTGTTTATTTTTTTGATTTTTTTATTTTAAATTTAAAAATATATATAATAGATTTTATGTAATTTTTTATGTAATTTTAATATCTTTTCAATTTTATTTTAAAAAAAATTAGTATAAATTTATTATAAATTATTTTAATGCAAATAATAATTTTATTGTATATATATAGAGTGAGGAGAGAGAAGGGTATCCAAACCTCTTATATATAGAAGTATTTTTTTGTAGTTAAACTTGACATTTTAATTTCTTTTTGAATTTTTTCTAATGTATAATTACATATAAAACAAATAGCTTGCAAGTTTAGTCAAAACTCAAATAATCATATAAAATAAATTAAAAGATATAAGAGTTATCAAAGACTTTCTAACATTAACATTAATTGAAATAAAGATTGATGTTTTAAAATTTTGATTATATCACTTTCTATTTTCATCATAAAATTATGAGATTTATAATTTTAATTTATCAAAAAATTATTCCAAAAATCTACTAGCTAATATAAATGCATGTTATTTTGTAAAAAATAAAATTCTTTTAGATGGAATTCAAGTTTGTCAAATTTCTTAAATTACTTTGTAATTAATATTTATTTATTCTAGATTAGTTTAAAATAGTTAATGCGTACATATATATATATATATATATATATATACATACATACATATATATTTTGTTTTTGACTTTTAAGTTTTTAGTTTATTTTTAATGATCATATATATATTTATATATATATATATATATATATTGATATTGAGTAGAAATTGTTGCATCAAAATTACTTTTCTCCACCCAAAATGATCGTACACAGTCAAAGGATTGCAAGTAGTACCTAGACATATTCCAGTTTGCACCAAAAATCAGATTGAAGATTTGCAACATGATCAAAAAATTCCCACCTTATCTCGTGGAATCTGGCACTAGAGATCCCTACAGTAAAACATCAATTAATCAACTAATTAAACATGTATTGAATAAAACTAAACTAAACTGGTTTCGTTTTCATTCATAAGCAGGATTATGAATCTGCCGCTCCCACCACATCGTCTCCGACCTCACCTGCAGTCTTCCTTGCCGAAGTTTGAAACTCTTGTGGGCGAAAGCTTATCGAACTCACACCAAGCTAGTGAGAAAGTGATCGCTGCAGACACTGTTGATAGCAGTGTTCCAACTCCGCCTTTCTCAATTATTTCGGCTCTGCTGCATCACTCCACATTGTTGATCTGGTGGCCCTGGCTCGTCGCAAACTGTAGACGACAACGATGCAAGGAGATATGCACACACAGAGAGTGGTATCGGTGGTCCCAGCCTTTGTCCTTTTCTGAGCTCTTCCGGTCGATCGATCAATATCTGTGGCTCTGTTGGAGCTTTGCAGCGAAATCGCACAATGACCCCAAGCTCAGTTATCTATCTTGCTTGCCAAGAGCAACACAGCATAGCGTCTCATTCCAGCAATGAAGTCAGCCGTGAGGAGTCTCACATCGACGTTTACTGGTGTTGGATTATAGTTTGAGGGGATCTTGTGCGATTCGAAAACTTTCCTCAGACTGGCCGCACTACTGGTAGAGACTCTGAACTGTTTAGTTCTAAAAGTGGTTGTGGTTGTGGCTATAAGCTTTCTTTCTGCAGCGCAACAAAGTCAGAGTACAAAGCCCACATTATTCTTGTCAAATAAGTTGCATAGCACTCATTCGTTTCAGCAGACGGTGTTTAAGTACCACTCAGCACTATCAGTGAAGCCAGAAAAATGCAGTACTTGCAAGAGAGAGGCATTGAAGTAGCACAGGAAGAATCTGATGCTTCCCCTGGCGTGCAAGCTACAGCGTCTACATTGAACTGGCAAAGAGTGTTTCTTGTGAAAGGTAACCCTCTTGAAATGTTCGAACCGAGGAACTCTTCGTCACTGTACAGAACTTAATGGATTTTCGGTGAGTTTAAGCATTCTGATATATTAGCGTGATTCAATCATAGACAGGAAAACTTATTGGGAATGTTTTTTTATCCTTTTATGGCTCTTTCAAAGAAGGATGAAATAAGCAAGTCTTGCGAAAGAGTAATGCAACTTATACACAGAATCAACCATTTCAGATCCAGTCATTTCATGTCTTGTGAAGCATTTCAAAACTACAACTGGACATTGGTTAGATTCTAACATAAAACGTCTTAATTTGGAGAGAAATGCAGAGAGAACCCATAGCCGGCGACATTTGGTTTCTGCAGAGCCGATATATGTCGTAGTTATGAAAACTCAATTTTCCCTGACAACATAACGTACCTGTGATACAACTAGAAACTTGTGGAAAAAGGAAATACTTTATGAATTAGGCAGAATAATCAGTCGTCAAAGGCTACGATGTGCATACTTTCACAAACGAGGAGTGAGTAAAACAAACTGCCAAATGTTGAAACATCCTCTACAAGATGATTTTTGACAGCCCACATTGCTAATCGTAACTTAAACATCTTGTCATAGAAAGTATTCAGTTTATCTCACACTAGTATATATTTCTTAACAAGTATGCTTTGGGCTCTGTCTACAGATTTCAGCAGTATTTCAGTGTAGCTTCTCTTGCCATAGTTCCTCCATGTGTGCGTCGTTTTAGAGAAAATTGAATGCAATTTTTGGTGGACAAGGTCGTTAAATCTGCGCCGAGGAATTAATTTTTTCTTTCAGAATTAGCACTCGACAGGTTAAGTGCTCTGATAGTAGAGTAAACGGTAGATGTAGCTGGGAAGTAAAAGGTTCGAAAGTAGCTGGTGGTCGTCTGAGAGTCTACCACATAATTCGTATACCAATGCAGCGTCGAAGTATTAGTCGAAATAGCACCTTCTCCGAGTGTATTCATAGTCACAGGATGCCCTCCATTCCCCACTGTGTACGCCAAGAAGTCTCAAGGGACACAAGGAGAGATAACATATATATCAAGCACTGCCGAGAGATTTACTGTAGCTGAGCAATCGATCAATGGTCAAGCAATTTGCACCATTATATTCGCACGTCGAAAGTACTCGCAACAATCACCGATCACAGCCAGAAGCCGGGATACCAAAAGATATCTGAGAGATTAAGCTTACATACCCTGTATAGACGCTGCAGTAGAACCAGATATGAGCATGACATGCACGTGAATCCCTTATAAGCTGTCAGAGAAGGTCGATGTTGTGTTGGAGTTGATGTTGATGTGTTGAATTGAGCTTGTTTCAGAGGCATTGATTGATCTACTTCTCATCCAGCCTAATGTTGGTCTAATCCAAGTTGCAGAATAGTCTGCACTTGAACAGTCATCGCACAGTCGCAGGTAGCTGTGAAGATGATTGCCCTTCATACTCTGGAATGTGAAGAATATTCCAGTATCTGTCAGCATTACTGCCCAAACATTGAGCGATGTGAAGCTGAATCAGATCCTTTTATATTCAACATTGTCGGCAATGTCTTAACTATAGTAATGCGTCTGTGTAGCTACTGTTTGGGGAGCTAAAATCCGCCCCACAAGCTAGATAATGCGTCTATATCTCGTTTCCGAGTTGAATGACAAAGATTTGTACATTTGTTGAAGAAATCTGGAGGTATCCTGTCGATCGATGTACAGAATTTCCCATGCATACCAACTAGTGAGGGTTGATAACTGGAAAAGTTGACAAATGATTGCACCGGAATATTCTAGATCTCTGCTCAATAAGGTTTGGTTAATAGATCTCGGTCTTGCTGTCCAAAGTCCACCATCCCCATAAATGTTGCGCTGCATCTGAACAGTTGTAGATCAGACTGTACCTTCGTTATTTCCTTGGAAACGATGTTGAAAATTAAACTGTCAGCCTGACCTAGTTGCCATTAAAATCATATCTATGTTCGAATCCATTGAAGGTTCTCTAAATCAGACCTTGCAGTAAGAGCCAGTCTTGTGAAGCATGCAGTGTAGGACGATATTGGAATTTGTGCTGCTTGAGATATACTTGATCTGGGATCGAAGCTGTCGACATCAACGAATGAGAGCTTTACGGTATACCAACCTGGCTGACGAGAGCTTTTGACAGGCCACGCTTTTCATCGCTGCTCAGCTTAGAGTAGGAACATTTTGGCTCAACATTGACATGATGAGAACATACAAATGGATTAGCTGGGATGTTAGGCCAACAAGAGTAACCAATGTCTTTTGCGACCCATTTTCCCAGACTTACACGTTGATGGACACACCTGGTTGGTTGTTTGATTGATTCCTACGGACACATACCCAGTGTGCAAATGAGCCTGTGTGAAGCAGTGGAACAAAGCAGTGGCGATTTTTCAATTAGAAGCAACAGCTATGTGCGAATCCCGGTTGGGTTCAGGTTCCATCCAACAGACGAGGAGCTGGTGGGACATTATCTTTATGGCAAAGTGGGTAGAGCGCGGAGTGATCAGCTGATTCAGGAGTTGGACCTCAACAAGTTCGAGCCCTGGGATCTTCACCTTGTGCTGATGCATGAACATGCTCATTTGAAGGACATATTTGAGTTTCGAATTTCTCCCACATAGAGTTTTTGTTTTGGGATTGGTGGATATCTTGATACTGATGATATTCAATTTTTGTGGCGATGTCAGGGGTATGCAGGATCGGGGACGTCACCACCGAAGACCAGAGTGACTGGTACTTCTTCAGCCACAAGGATAAGAAATATCCTTGCGGGAACCGTGCAAATCGAGCCACCGCCGGCGGATTTTGGAAGGCCACTGGGCGGAACAAGCCCATCCACTTGCAACGCAACATGATCGGTATGCGCAAAACGCTTGTCTTCTAATGGCCAGAAAACAGATTGGATAATGCACGAATTTCGTCCAGATGGAGCACCCGGTGTCGTCCCCAATTATGTACGCCGCTTGCATACTCCCAGCGTCTTCTTCTCATTACATCAAAGATTTCCATTTTTTCACGCTCTGCCCGTTTTAGGCGCCTTAAAGCTCTATTATTTTCTCGATTCAAGTTCTAAAATAGAAATTGGTGTTCTGAGAGCTGCAGTGTGCATGACACGTTAATGCAGGGGTCGGGTGGGTGGGTGGTGTGTCGCGTATTCAGGAAGACGAAGAATATTAATGCCAATAGCCTGGACACATATTGCTCGTTTAAGGAATGCCAGCAAGTTGAGATCGGCATGCTGCAACCGGAGGTTGTGAGTCTCCGAAAGCAAGAGATATACCTCGACAGAGAAGTAGGCTCCATCAGCATCACCTCACAGCTTCACCACCCCTTCAATTTTACTTGCAAACTGGAGATTAATGTGGAAGACGACAACACAACCGTCCACAACTCCTTCAAGTCGAACCTTCACCACCTACACAGGCCACACGAAGCTGGAAAAGACCACTCTCCGGCACCAAGCTCCTCAACCACGTTATGGAACCTACCTCAGGGATCCCGAATCAATGCACAAAATGGTGGAACTTACTCCAGTGTTCCGGGGTTTCTTGGATGCGACTCATCCCCTACGGACCTCCACGATGTCGGATCTAGCGTCGCTCGGGATAGGTCATTGTGCAGCTTACACATTCCATGTCATGTTGCAGAGCAAAGATTATTGGACGTTTGAGAGCGCCAGGCTGGCCCTACAATGAGACCAGACATTAGCAGACGTGACGTGCCATGTGCACATGCAGAGGTCGACAGCGGACTGTTTGTTGGCGTCTTACCAAGAAACTAAGGTCGATGTCTGGAATTACGGTAGAAACTCACACAATGTGCAATCGATCAACGTATACGTATTGAATTGGACCTCATGCCTCAAAGGACACATAGATCAGCACCAACCTCACAGATGTTACTCTGGAGAGACAATCTGGCCAAAAATGATTCAGGGAGATCCAGCCGCAGTCAGGAGAAGGAAGCCAATCTCTCGGCATGCAACAAAACGCAGCCACATTCAGATCACAACTAGTTCTAATGCTGCAATATTCGCCCTCGTCAACCGAAGATACCCCATGAGGTGCCGCACTTCGATCGTCGCCGTGGAAACAGCGATAACACAAGAGCGGATCAGGGGCACATACCATTCACACCATAACGGGGTCTAACTACGCAGCTCGCGAATTGCAGTGCAGAACGATGCGCGGGCCCAGGTCATCGCACCCTAAGTTCGGTACCACGATCCAAGTCCACACGACCGATATCAGATCGAGCGGCGTCTTCGAGGCGTCAGTGAAGCACACCGACACCGGAGCGATGTGTTGCACTACATGTTGAATGAAGTCGTTCATTCAACTTTCTTCATCCGAAAAAATCTAAATTGATCACATGCTCAGTGTCTGTAGATAAATCAACATAGACCTCCAAACAGATTAGTCTTTTGCTTAAGCTATCACTGAATGCGTAGAGGTGAATGAAATTGTTCGTAGCATCTTAAATACAGATTGAGTAAAGTGACTCAAAGTACACTTGTACAGATTGTACTTGATGCCGTTTCTGCATTTCCCTGTGATGAATTGATAAAGTGCAATAGGTTATGGGCCTCTAAAATGTTACTGCGCTGGACAATCAAAAAAAAAAAAAAAAAAAAAAAAAACTTCTGAACATCTCCAGAATTTCTGCTGCGACATTCTTTGTCACATTCTTTGTCAGATTTCTACAAATGTAACATTTTGTTTCTCTGTTAACTTCTACTACTCTACTCAAAGTCAACTTCCTTGTTAACTCCATGTTGATTACTACAGTTAATTCTTTGTCAATCTCCTCTACTAACTCTTGGTTAACTTCTAGTACTGTATTTTTTTTTTTCTTTTTTACAAACTGAATCTAGCCTCATTCACTGAGACATCTGTTTACTGGCACTAATTTGAATCTATTATCATGGTTACAACGTGATAAACCAACCGGTGATTACTCTAGGAACATGTGCTAACAATGAGTTATAAGAGTGCATTGACGTGTGTGAGCAAAAAAATGCAAATGGAAGGATGCTTATCAATTCAAGTATATCTTTGCAAATTATATCTCCAATGCACTGCAAAAAATGTATTCTATTTGAAAGGAAAATTTTACAACTACAAAATATCCTGCTCTAATGATATAAGATTTTCTATTCAAAATATTAAAACAATAGCTTTATTGTTGAAACATCTTGACAATGAGATTTCCAAGAAAGTGATTCTTTCAAAAAGCATGTCCAATTTGCCACCAAGTTACATCTTTTTGTAGTGTGGACCAATGTTGATAAAGAGAAGTAAATAACTTTTGCCCTTTAAGAGTGTCTTCAACAACCCACAACCTTATTACAAGTCCATTGTAATTAGAAGAAATCTGATAATCTAGCATTTATTATCCAAGCACAAATACAAAGCAATAGTGCAATAAATTATTGTAAACAACATCAAAAAGATGTAAATTACTATTATAAGCTAAAAAGTAGAAATTGTTACAATTGCAAGGAATACAATAATTGGATGGCAAATTGTATTTGATTTAATAATGTGATATTGGTCTGTCTACATCACAAAATATAATAAGTACAACTAGTATTTTTGAGGCCATTGGTATTATTCTAGTTTTAATAATGGTAAAAAACTTCTATTAAAAAATTTACAAATTTTTAGTGATCACATGAGTGATTTTGCATTCATGACTTTTCATGCTTATTTGGTTCTTCTTAATAACAAATACTAGTACACTAACTTTGCTACTACAAAATACATGACCAATTGTCTTAAATGGTTTTAATCTATTATTCTAATTCTTAAAAGAAAGTGGTTAGTTATTATTGTATATAATCAAATGCTTTGAGCACATTGTTGTAGAAATATTTGAATCCAATACCAAGTAAATAGTAAATTTCTCTTTGGAATTCTTACAAATGTAATTGTCAAGGACAAGAATTCGATGAAAAAAAAATTCAAACAAGTAAACCTTCACTCAAAGAGAGGTAACAAAATATATATAAACAAGTATATATATTGAAAGAAAAACTGGAATGGCTATTGCCAAAAGACAAGAAAACTAGAGACTCTTGAAACTAGACTAGAAGCAAGAAAGAAGTTGACAAGAGTGAAGAAGCCTTCACTCTTGTCTCTATATATACTATCTAACTAGGAGCTACGTGGCGACGTTCTATAGGACCTCCAATATGTGTTGACTTTGTAGGACACATGCCTTGACTTACAAGGCAAGTTTTTCTACGTGTGGACCACATAGTTAGCTTGATCTTCAAGCTAACAACATGTGTGGCACATGGCCAAGTTGTTGACCACGTTTCTAATCCAAAAAGTCAATAAAAGACACCTATGAAGTCAAAGCAGCATCTAAAAAGCTTCTAAGAAGCTTCTATATTAAATATTATAGAATTAACTTACTTTTACCTACTTTTACTTACTTCTACCTATTTGTATATGTAATTATTAGGTTACATGATTATGACCGTGACACTACCTTCCCTTCTAGACACGAGTTCCACGAAGAGCAGTCATCATATGTTGAGGAAATCTATGATGCGACCAATTATATTCGCCACATACTTTGATCTCTGTTCTCTTCGAAGATGATAGATAGGGCCTCTCAACTATCGGTAGTGTCCCATACCAGGGCGGGAAGACCACCCAGTTATTTGATCATTGTTCAGGCCTTCATAACTTCCTTCAAATAGAATATTTGGAACACCATCAGGAGTTGTTCCTACCTCTAGCACAATCACCAAACATCGGGAGTCCCTTCCCAAATTGTGATACCAAACGCGTTGTATCTCGCCATCTATTCGAGGAAGAATATGTCGTTCTTCAAGATCTTCATCTCGATTGCGTCGTCTTGAAGGTTGTGACAATCGTAATATCTCGTTCGACAGGTCAGCAAATGAAGGCTCTTGAGTCGAATCTGCTGGTTCTTGGTTCTCCATCTCCTGAGCGTCACTACTACAAAGAAGCTACGAACAAGAATTGAAAGTAGAATATTAACTTGCCTAGATGTTGTTTCTTTTATAAAAAAGGTTTTCATCTTGATTTTGATGGATGTCGTTGATGAAAAGCCTCCACCGCCTTTGCTGCATTTACAAGATTTTTTATTGGCTCTCATGTGCGTTCACTAATACCATATCCGTACCAATGGATAAGATATTCTAATTTATTTTGATGTTGCCTTGAATCTAAGACTTCTTCTACTTCAAACTCTTCATTATTGTCCACTTCTATAGGAGGAGGTGGAGCTTGTCGTCTTCTTGATATGTCCACTGTCTTGTATGGTTCAAGAAGAGACGCGTGGAATACTGGATGGATTTTCATTGACTCTGGTAAATGTAAATGATATGCAACTGGATTGATTTGTGCAGAAATAGAAAATGGTCCTAGCCTTCGATAGTCCAACTTGTCACAAAGACGAGTGGTCTTGATATTGTGACAAAGTAGCCATACCTTATCACCCAAGATGAATGATGGTTGTTCCTTTCGATAGACATCCGCATTGGCCTTTTGTTGTTCTTGAGCCTCTTTTAATTGCGCCTTCATCATTGCATGTAGCTCTGATAAATGAATTGCCAAAAATTTTGCAGCAAGATTATCAATTTTTAAAAAGTCAAAAGTATCAAGTCGTGGATGATAACCATAATTAGCAAAGAAAGGTGTTTGTTTTGTAGAAGAATGTACCGTATTATTGTAAGCAAACTCTGCCAATGGCAAAAGAGTTGTCTAATCATCTTGTTGGTAATTAATGGTACATCTTAAATATTGCTCCAAAACTTGATTAACACGCTCTGTTTGTCCATCAGTTTGAGGATGGAATGCCGAAGATAGTTTTATATCCACTTTAAGAATCTTGAAAAGAGTTCGCCAAAATCTTGATACAAATTGAGTTCCCCTATCTGATATAATATCCTTGGGTAATCCATGATAGTGATAGATATTGTCAAGAAAGAGCTTAGCTATTTCTTCACCTGTGATAGATTTTGTACATGGTACAAAATGTGCCATCTTGGTAAAACGATCTACTATCACGAATATAGAGTCATAAGAACCTGAGATTAGAAGATCCGTGATGAAGTCCATAGAAACAGAAGACCATGGTTGTTCTGGAATGGATAATGGCTGAAGAAGTCCAAAAGGTCGATGACGAGGAGTTTTTGATCTTGAGCAAACTTCACATGATTGTACAAAATCTTTAACTGCCTTCCACATTTGAGGCCACCAGATATCCCTAGATATCAGCTCCAAAGTCTTATTATATCCGAAATGTCCTACTGCTGAGAAGTTGTGACGAGCTTGAAGAACACGTAAACGTGCTTCTCCTTCTGGAACATATAGGCATCCTTCGAAATAGAGTAGGTTGTTCTTGAATTCAAATTTAGAGGGATCATGAGATTTAGAAGAATTATTCTTGATATCATGAAGAAGAAGGTCTGAAGCCATACTCAACAAGACTTGCTTAAGGAAAGTTAAATCAACAGTCAATGTTGATTTTATTGCTCGAAGATGAAATTGTTCCGGGTTCAAGAGAACCGTTCTTTGTTACTCAAAAGCTGCATCTCCTTCTTTTGGTGCAAGATAAGAACGTCTAGACAAGGCATCAGACAAACCTTGTTGTTTTCCTGGCCGATAAGTGATGATGAACTCGAATCTTGATAAAGACATGATCCAACGAACTTGGCGACGATTTAATATGCATGCTGACATAAAATATTCGAGATTCTTGTGATCCGTATATACGGTGACTGGACTAGAAACGCCTTCTAGATAATGACTCCATTCTTGAAAAGAATCCACAATTGCAAGAAGTTCTTTGTCATGGGTCTCATAATTGATTTTTGCTGCTGAGAATTTTCTTGAATGAAAGGCTACTGGATGAAGTTTGTCATCTGTTCCCATTTGTGATAAAACCGCACCCAGAGCAAAGTCCGATGCATCTGTTTCCATAAAAAATGCTTTGGAAAAATCAACACGATACATGATTGGTGCAGAAACAAACGCTATCTTTAAAGATTCAAAAGCAACTTCCGCTTCTTGATTCCATTGGAGTTTGTCTTTACAAGTCAAACGTGTAAGTGGAGCTGCAACTCGAGAGAAGTCTTTGATGAAGATCCGATAGTAGTTGGCAAATCCCAAAAAACATTAGACATCTCTTATCGTTTTTGGGATCTTTCAGTCTATAATAGTTTGAACTTTCTTAGGATCCATCATAAGTCCATCATTTGAAATGATGTAACCTAAGAAATCGACTTGAGTAGTGTGGAATACACACTTTTCTATCTTGGCATAGAGTACTGCATCTCTTAATTTTTGTAACACATGATGAACATGAAGTTCATGTTCTTCTAGATTCTTAGAATAGATCAAGATGTCATCTAGATAATAGACCACAAAATCGTCCAAAAACTCTCGAAAAACATCATTCATTAGATGTTGAAAAGCTGCTGGTGCATTTGTAAGTCCAAAAGGCATGACATTGTATTCAAAATGTCCATACCTAGTTCGAAACGCAGTCTTCTATTCATTTCTTTCTTTGATGCATACTAGATTGTATGCTCCCCGAAGATCTATTTTTGTATAGATCTTAGCTTGATTCAACTGATCAAGAAGTCTAGATATTAAAGGTAGTGGATACCTGTTCTTGATGGTAATCTTGTTGAGTCCTCGATAATCAACACACATTCGCAATGATCCATCTTTTTTCTTCACAAATAGAATTGGAGCTCGTGCCGGAGATTTAGAATGGCGTATGAAATTCTTGGCTACATTTTCTTCAATATACTCCTTGAGTTCAGCCAACTCATTTTGTGATAAACTATAGATTGGTCTGAATGGCGGTTGTGCTCCTTCTTGAAGGTCAATTGAGCAATCATAGGGACGATGTTCCGGGAGTGTATCCGCATTCTTTTTTTCAAATATATCTTGAAATTCTTGATATTGGCTTGGAATGCCACTTGAAGTCTTTTCACTAGTAGAAACGGCTGTGGCATAAATAATATATGGTAATTCTTTCATAGCAGCATGCAAGAAAGCTTTTGCACCTATAAATACGGGTTTAATTGAACTAGACTTATGACTCTCTACTTGATTAACTACACTGTTAGTTATACTTTTAGAGAAAGTTAGAGTTTGGGAAGTCCAATCTATTTGAGGGTTGTATTTTTCTAACCACGATAAACCTAAAATGACTGGATTAGAGGGAGATCTAATGATATTAAATACTACAAAACTATTATGACCATTGATTATTACTTCTATAGGAAGGATTTCATGAATAATATCTCCAGAAGACAATGGACGACCATCTATGACTTCTACATGAACAGGTTTAGTTTTCTTTACTAAAGATATGCTATGTCTTTTAGTAAATTCTTCATCTAAAAAACATGCTGAGGCTCTTGAATCTAACAAGGCAGAGACTTTGTAATATTTAGGTCCTAAAATAACATTTAATGTAAAACAAGGAGAGGGCTCTGAGGAGAGAATAGGACCTTTATTAGAAGTTGTGCAAGGTTCCAGCCGCACGGTCCCTATTGTAGCTAGACAAACTCGTTTTCCGACATATTATCTTCTTTCACAGCCATACTCCTCATTTTGTGATTGCGTCGTTTCTTTGGACAATGCTGGGCAGTGTGCTTTGGTTCTCCACAATATAAACATAATCCTTCTTGACGACGATGAGTCTTTTCTTGCTCAATAAGAGGTTTGAAATGTATTGTATCAATTTGCATATCCTCTACTTCCAAATGTATGTGTTGAAGAGGTGTTGGTATTGCCATTGAATTATAATAACGTTGAGGTCCACTTGTATGGTTCTCAGATCGGAATTCAAAAAGGCGATTGTCACACTTCACAGCAAAGTCAATTGCTTGACTCAATGTTTGAGGATCAGGTAAGTTGAGCATTAATTTTTTTACCTCATATTGTAATCCGTAGAGAAATTGGCTAATAAGTGCAGCATCATCCCACTTGATATCAGTTGCAAGTTGTCAAAATTGTGAAGCATATAACGTTACTGATCGATTGCCTTGTCGTAAAATACGGATCTTATTGGTTGCAACACGAATTGCATCATACTCTCCATACATGGATCGAAACTCCGCCAAAAAAGCCTCTAGATTATCCAATATTGGATCTTGTCATTCAAGAAAAGATGAAAACCATGATAGTGCGGAACTTGAAAGAAGCGTACTTATGAATCTAACTTGTGATCCAGGAGTTGGATAGCTTTGGGGTTGAAGTTCAATCACAAGTTGTACTTGATTGATAAATCCTCAAAACTTGGATCTGGTGCCATCAAACTTCTCGGGTAGGGCAATTCTTGGTTCTCTAATATTTAAAGGACGTTCCACCATAGGAGAAAGGACATGGTTTGGTGCAGATGTTGAAGCAGCTCCAACCATTTCTATATCTTCACTTCCTGCCAATCTTATTGCTCCTTGTGGTGGTAAATTGAGTTGATGCATCGCAAGCATTAACTCCCTCAATTGCTCTTGCATTTGTGCCATTGCACTCTTCATTTCAACAAGTTCTGCCACGATAACACTTAGAAGAGAGAAGATGTCTAATATCGCTGAAGACAAATAGAAGAGAGGACTTGAGAACAAAGAAAATACTAAGGACAATATCAGTTTAGAAGAGGGTAATCCGCAACTTCTAATATGCTTATATCTTATCAAGAAAAAAGGAGTAATCCACTCTTAATCAAGATTAGACAAAGCTCTAATATCGTAGGTACACTCTTGTCAATCTGTCAAGGATAAAAACTCGATGAAAAAATAATTCAAACAAGTGAACCTTCACTCAAAGAGAGGTAACAAAATATATATAAACAAGTATATATATTGAAAGAGAAACTGGAATGGCTATTGCCAAAAGACAAGAAAACTAGAGATCCTTGAAACTAGACTAGAAGCAAGAAAGGAGTTGACAAGAATGAAGAAGCCTTCACTCTTGTCTCTATATATACTATCTAACTAGGAGCTACGTGGCGACGTTCTATAGGACCTCCAATATGTGTTGACTTTGTAGGACACATGCCTTGACTTACAAGGGAAGTTCTTCTACGTGTAGGCCACATAGTTAGCTTGATCTTCAAGCTAACAACATGTGTGGCACATGGCTAACTTGTTGACCACGTTTCTAATCCAAAAAGTCAATTAAAGATACCTATGAAGTCAAAGTAGCATCTATGAAGCTTCTAGGAAGCTTTCATATTAAATACTATAGAATTAACTTACTTTTACCTACTTTTACTTACTTCTACCTATTTGTATATGTAATTACTAGCTTACATGATTATGTTCGTGACAGTAATCTATGTTTTGTCTATTGCATGTAATTTTATCTCTTTTGGCATTGTCTCTAAGATAGTACTTTATTTGTTACAATTCTAAGAGCATATAAACTCTTATGGAAATCAAAAGAAATTATTTTAGAAGACCAATAAATTAATTGATTATATTAATTATTTTTTCAAGTTATTCCACCATTATTTTTAGTACCAAAAACTTTTGCAGCAAATGTGGCTTTAATTTTAACAACCTCTATTAAAATCTTAATAGAAAACATAAAAATAAAAAACATTGACTACTGGCAAAAAACAAATGGCAAATATTAACATCCTAACTACTAAACAAATTTTTTATTATGATTCTTTATTAGATTTTACCATTGGAGATGTTAATTTTGATAATACTTTATGACTTGATTGTTTGCTTGGCAAGCATGTTAAATATAACTATTCAATAAATCCAAACAAAGAATGCTACCACCATCTAGATCAATTCCTTTACATTGATATTTTGAGAAAGTTCAATGAAAAGTTAATTGGTGATGATTAATATTTACATGCTATTAAAAAATGACACCACTATATATCAATTTATACATTTTGTAAAATCAAAATCCAAAGCATTCCAACACTTTTAGCACACAATAAAGATCATTAAATGTGATACAAATAATAAAGTGAAGCAATTTTGCACTACCAAATGTAGTGAATATTTGAATATTGTCTTTTGAGAATATCTTATTGTTGTCATTATTAAATATGAGTTGAGCATTGTATATATGCCACAACACGATGGGTTCATTGAATGAAACAATTGCACAATATTCAAAGCAACATGATCAATGTTACATGAAAAAAAATTATCCTTATGGCTTTGGGTTGAAGCTATTAATATTACCTAGTACAATTTGAATCAAACTATCAACAATCAAACTAGAATTCATCAACATCATTTGAACTTTAGATTAACAAAAAATAAATAAAACCCTTAGTTGCACACTAAGAAGCTTTTGACTATCTATCTTACATCCATATTAACAAATCTCCACACACTAAGCTAGACAAAAAGAATATACCAATAATTTTTTAATTACTTCCTTTTAAGCAAGTTGTATTGGCTATAAGACCCTATCACAAACAATGTCACAAAAAGCTCTAATGTTTGTTTTGATAAATCTTCAAGAAGCTAAAATCTTCCTAGTTTTCTTATGTATGATTTCTTACCAATCCTTTGTGTTGAACTTGATGTTACTTTGACATGTATGCTTCAAGAAATTTAGTCTTGACAAGAATATAAAACCTTAGTATTAATAGCTGATTCAGAAAATGGTATAACATAACTTGTCAAAGAATCCTCTTAACCTATAGAAGAATCCCAAGTTGAAATTTCCAGTGATACAGAACCTACATCAAATATACATCAACAACATATTTTACCACAATTTGTTCATAATGATCCAACTCAAGAACATTGTGTTCCAACAAACTATTTTCTCTTTAAAAAAATCCTATTTTATTATAAATTATAATAATTAAAATCCATTGTTCTTACTAAAAATGTTACTATATATATTGTTCTTACTAAGAATTTGACTTTTGCAAAACATATAAAAATTCACAATATTATTTGGACAAAAAATCTTTCATCAGGTAGTCACTCAGACCAATAATGTGACTACCTATAAAAGTTTTGATTTTTATGAAAGTATGACAATAGCATGCACTTGTACTTTAGCATTCTTGCGAAACAACTGACATTAGTCCACGCACTGAGGTAATTTTATGCAAAAACAACAATATAAACCTTAAAACAGAAACATTTACCAATAACTTCTCCAATCTGACATTCTTTATTGCAATGGCCATAATTTTTTAGTATAATGGCAATCAGAGAATTACAATGAAGTCATCGTCACATAGTAATGCATCACTAAGTCATCGTCACCTTCATGATCTGGTGAAGAAACTAACTCAAAGCTTTGAAATGAGGGCCAGCTTCATGGAATCCTGCTCCGTGAGGACATGCTGGCGACGTATCTCCTTCACCGAGCGAACGCCAATGAGTGCCATTGTGAGCTCAAACTCATCCCGCAGCATCTGTAGCACCTTCGTCGCGCCAGCCTCGCCATCCACAGCTAGCGCATATGGAACGGGCCTTCCAACCTGCATCAGAAAGGCGAATGTGGGGTGTCGGTAGACAAATTCGAACTCGTTACTGTTAGTCCCTGTGGGGTACTGTGTTTTGCAACATTCCACTCCGCTGCATTATTCAAAGGTTGTGCATCAGCGGCTTACAAAAACACCGGATGCACCGAGTGCTAGAGCTTTGAAAACGTCTGAGCCACGACGGATGCCTCCATCCAAGAACACTGGGACCCGCCCTCTGACTGCGTACACAACCTGCTTTCCCGAGCCACAATTACCAACAACCAAGACTGAACTCTGCCGGGTCCTCGAAGAGCTTACAGTTGTAATCCACAATGTTCCACATTCCCCAAGGCGAATAGAATGCGGACACTCTGGGAACTCCAATAGGTTCAAGTCGTTTGCGGAGAAAAATATTGGAAATTGACAACACAGGATGATCATGTATGCATTTCGAGAGACTGGGGATTCTTGGATACAGGAAAAGTCTTTCAGATTAGGCAGAAGAAGAGTTGAACAACCTCTTCAAGAACAGATATTGTGGCCGGTACATGGTCAAGTTGTCGAGCCCCATGGTTGGATACTATAATACCTTTAACTCCAGCTTGTAGTGCCAAACTCGCTACACACGAAAAGTTTTCAAGTCAGTCATGACATGGCATCTCAACTTTCACATGAATAAAGCAACGCTTTATATATAAGTACTTAAGCCACACAAAAGTGAAACAGGCAAGCATCATAATTTACAAGCTGTGCCCTGACAATCAACTACACCATTCATTGACATACTCTCGAGTCACAATAATTTCGTCTGCATCCACAAGTATGTAAGGGAAATGGTTGAAGAAAAGCTCCACGCCCTAAGTCACTAAAGAATAATTTTTGTAAATCTCAATGCTCAGCTCCTTGCCACAAAATCATCGCAGCGACACAGCGTTGTAGAAACTTATAAGTGAGAGTAACTCTGTTCTCACCATCTTCAGCAGTCAGAATACCCTTCACAAGCACAGGCAGATGCGTAATGCTTTGCAACCACTCCACGTCCTGCAATGAAAAATTCACCAGATACTAAGAACATGACTCGTGTCAAGTTTGATCGTAGAGCCCTAACAAAGTGCGCAGTCTGGTCTTTAGCAGCCTGAAACACATCATTTCAAGAGGAGCAGGGTTGGCAGCTTATACCTTCCAGTTGAGAGACCTGTCAAAATGACTGTCTGCCCAAGAAGCCAGCTCGGAATGACTTGACTGAGACACAAACAAAAATTCGAATTCAGGTCGTAACGACTTTGGCCTTCTCCGAACTTTTCAGTTACGAGTGTGGGCTCGGAGATGGACTAACTATAATCAAGTCATGAATCAGAATTAATAAAAAGACAAAGACCTCCGGAGGTGGATTGGGATGTACCTTGTCCATCTGCTCTAGATTCATGAGGCCTTCCAAATTCTTATATACCAAGTGGGAAGGCAATTTGAACCTGCAGCAAGCTAGAATAAGACCTCCAAACGTGGAGCGAAAATTTTCCATTACTTGAGAGCATTCCATTGCACCATGTTTCAAGCCCATGGTTTCATGTGTTCTCCTTGGCTTTTTGGTGTTTTAGGTAGGCATTGTGGTTAACTTGACCCTGAATTACTCACCTATTTTTTATGTCTGCTTCCCTGCGGCCCAGCCGTGGAGTATCAACGGTGAGAACTATGGCTTTGAAGCCAAACTGCTCTGCCCTCCGCACCAAAGTTATGGTGATGTTCCTATCCTTATACACCTTTCATACAAAACGGCACAAGCTCAATTTAATACCGAAACCATGCAATACAGGCAGAAAAGGGGTAGTGCTTGCAAATGCCTAAAATCTAAATGGGTTCGAAGGTTACCCTAAATCGCTACATGTAATCAAAATCCGAGCATAATATCAACAGAAACGAAACGGGTGGAAGGAAGTAAAACTGCGTTAATTACTGCTTTAATTTTCAAATCCTTCGCAACGTAAGCCATATCGAAATGTCAACCTCTGCCTACAAGTGATCAAGTAAACATCCACTCACATAAAGTTGGAAAAATCGGACTCCTGGGCCTGTCGCAGCTACTTCTTCCATGCTGCAATTAGCACTAGAAGATAGAATCTGAGCAAACCAAAATCCGTCAAGAGTCCGCAATTTTGTTAGCATCATGGCTCGTGGTAGCCTACTGATGATCTAATCATTCCTCAACAAGTATCTCAAATTTTCTAGCTTCAGAGACTAAAGAAGTAACCGAAGGAAACTTCTCATTATCTCAAGAGGTTGTGAGGAAGACCATAAGAGTATCAGCTGCTGAAGCAGCTCTTGCGGTTGCAAGCTCTCCTGCAACACAAACAAATGCACCAAATTCTGTAAATTCTACGCTGTGAATAATGCTGGAACTCATGCTCTTAGCACTCTCCACACGCAGTAGTATGTCGGTGCTAAAGCATCAGATTCCTGCTACAACCCTAACACGGTTCTTAGTGTGGCGAAGTATGTCAAGGTGTACCTTCAGGATGTGCCAATTTGTGATGCGCGGTTGGGGCTACCATTATAGGCATGGAGATCTTGAATCCCATTACTGACGTTGCCACATCTATGTTGCTCACATCCACTAGAATCCGAGGCCTCAGCCTGCATAATTGAATCGGAAATTGTAGCAACAAATAAAACATGCGATTAGAGTCTTAGCGCACGAAGGGTTCCCATGACCCGAAAAAGAACATCGACGCTCAATTTAGCGAAAATGCTCGATGTACAGCGGTCTTTCGATTGCATCTAATATTGATACTCTGATTCAAGCCGTGGGGAATTCGCACTCCCTTTTCTGCTTACATATTAGGGCGCCTAGAATTGAAGAAAAGTGATCTGCTTGTCGCACCTTATTCGAGAGAATGCCTCCCGATTTTCTCTCAAGGAAACTTGGTCCTCGCTCCCGCGAGCAAAGTAATCAAATGCCATCTTCGACATCTTGGCCTTGGCCAACAATTCATACTCGTCCACATTGACCACCTCCAGAGACATGGTGATTTTTCTGTTCAGAACAAAAATCCCACGATTGCCTCGTCTCAGATAACAGCAGTTCGAGTGACACAGCTTTCAAGCTCCTGACCTAAGAACTAAACTCCGCGCAGTTGATAGTTCCAGATGAAGCAGAGTGTGCTTAGAGAGTCTCACACAATCTCTCATCAATCACTTGATCGTGACGCTGTTGCGAGGATGGCGAGACTCTAGAACTGCGAACGTCAGTAGAAGTCTACAAGAGAGAGGGCCTAAGTTGAGAAAAAACAAGGAGAATATCTACAAATGAACCACGGCATCTTGATTGCGTTCAGCTTTGAAAAACTCACGGTTGGAAAGTTTTAAAAGTGGCTCTTAATGCACTTCGTATGAGGGGGGGGGGGGGGGGGGGGGGGATTTTGCTGCATCTCTGACAACTGTATTAGGATCCCACCACTCGGAAATTATCTCGAAAGATTCCGAAATAGCTGAAGATCCCTCGTTTGGAATGTGCTATTTAAACTTTTTTTCTGACACATCGCAGTGCTGTTGAATCCCAGGATATGACAGGGTGCTGGAGCATGGCACATTCAAATTTACCACATTCTCGATTTGCGATGACAGAGTACAGTCAATGCAAAATCTGCGACAAGTAGATGATACTCTTATGGTCTTTCATGGGACGTTTTATGGGACATTTGTGAGTGAATTGGACCAGGTCAGCAACTGGGTTCAATCAGATATTTTTTTTGGATGTTGACGATGATAGCAGCCACGATGCCACTCTAAGATTAACTGAAAGCAGCGCAAACTTGGCCAGATGCAATGCTTTTAAACACACATCCATTCACAGCTGAACTGGGCCAATGCAAATTCTCTCAGTTCTGGGAATCGATATTTAAATAGACGACGTGCCTGCTATTTCGTACACTTGCTCAGAAACATATGTCCACCTTTACAGTTGCATGATTTTGACTAATTTATATGTATACTTTCGAGTTTCTCGAATTGTGTCTAAATAGCTCTACAAGCGGTGCCACATAATCGTAGCTAGAGAATATCCTACAAATGCACAAGAGAATTCTGCACAAAATAAGAACTTGACCTCGTTTGACGAGGTGTCGTCGGCTTCAGCCCCATTAATGCATTCCAGAATATCCTTGATGGGTATTTGCTGTCTTGAGGACTCGGCTCTCTTCCTTTTGTAGCATGGGTAATTCGACGTTGTAAAGACTGTTGTAATGTCATTATTCGTATTTCCCCCTTGCATGATGCTTAGCAATCGTGTGCGCATTGCGACTTATTTTGCAATGGCTGCACATTGGTATTTTAACTGCGACGAAAAGCTCGTTCGGAACTTCATGAGGTCTAATCAGGTGAGGCTCGATGCTGTAGAGGAAGTACTCTTGATCTGCTAGAGAACCGATCTCGAGCCCGGGACAAAGTACTCCATGCCGCCTATTAAACCGTGCCTCATCTGCGCAGTACTTCGGAGGTTTTATCCTCGCTGTTTTCAAGCTAGGAAGCTTTCTGAAAACTGGCTCACATTCGCCGATAGTCCCTTGAAAACCACCTCCTCTGACAACATTGCCAGAATTCCCTGCGTCAAGTTGTTCCTGCAAGAGCTTGAGGGTGTTACCACTTTCGTGACAATTGGTGGGGATGGTTCGACAACTGTTTTGTCGCATTAGCAGACATGTTTTATCCGGTCGTTTCTCAGCAGAGTGGTTTAAGGGCTCTGAAGTTCGGCTTTCGGATCTGAACCGGCCTAGATCAATCCCCCCGTCACACAGTGGATGGCCGCTTTGACTTATGGAGCTCGATGAGGATCGCAACAGCTGTTTCCACTTGCATGAATTGAATTTTGCGACTATTGAGCCTGAATCTAGAGATAGAGACTTGGCCCTTCGGAATATTTCATTCTTGTCTCTATCCTTCGGTGTCTGAGCCATTCTGCAATGTTATAGGGTCTTTTTTGGTTTTACCTGTGCATCACGACACAAATAAGTATCCAATCATGCAAAGAATCTGCAATTTCATTCTCAGGAACACGCTGTGCACGGGAAAGTATTCGGCACTCTAAAATATGGCCAATTTTGGGAGCTACCAACCTGACCCATACAGTTCATCACTGGGGAGGTCGGCTCCTCAGAATCCGTGTCATCGTCGTTAATATGATGGTGGAAATCGATGGCCTCGTTCATGAAAGTTAAGCCATTTGCACCACTCACACTTGGGCGTAGAGCTATTAGAGGTCCACCCTTTGGTGGTGTATTTGGTTCCGAATAAGGCACCGTCTGTCATTCAAGATAGCCAAGCGCGTCAATATCACTGTAACTCCGAGTGCACAACACAAAATCTGAATGGTATCTTTCCATTCTAGGGGTGATGTATGTAAACGAAAGACACTAATGTGCGAATAATCTTCTATAATTGTACCTTAAGTTAAAAATGGAAACTAGTGCAACGCGCAGGAGATGAGTGTGCCACTCGTGTGTACTATGTGGTTGGAACCTTCGAGGCATAGATTAAATGAGATTGACATATACCTCCTTTCAATTAACATTAAATAAAGACGATGTTGTGTTATTCTTCCAACAGCAGAAGCAGTGACCAGAAAAGGTGTGAACGGAACAACGGATACTGAACTTCATCAGCATGTGTTCGAAGCAGCCCGAGCCATCCCACTTTTCTTTCCATGCCCCTCACCAAGACCGAACTCGTCTCCGTAATAACACAAAAAAGAATTAGCAAGCATGGACATACCAGGTTAATAGAACTGTGCCGAAAGCATGAGAATACTCTGCGGCTTGCACGATGCAGATGGTGCAACCCGTGCAGCGTCGGTCTAGACTTTTCTAGCATATCAAACTGGTCGTATGGAGATGGAGCACCTGGCTTGGTCGTTGGCAACTCTATTCTCCATCGGTCCTCTCCTTTCACCTCCCCTCCCCAGGATCTCATGCTTATCGAGGGGTCAGGTTCCACATCTGTCAATTCAGTCCTTAACTCTGTACCAATCGAACTTCCCTTTCTCGCTTCGGACCTATCCAGCTCTTTCATCGTTGAAAGCTTCAATGAACGTCAATATCTGGGAACAAACAAATGCACACCCAGACATTCGTGAATATGTTTTGTTCAGAAACTTAAATAGATAAGCATATTTCCACGGAAAAAATCCGTTGGATTGCCTTGATCTCGATGTCACATACTATCATTTCAGGATGGCCAATGGTATAGCATGCAAGTAACAAGTAGCACATAGATAGATCATTCAAGGCCTATGTTACTGTAAATCATGATTCTGAAAGACATCGGAACGACGTATATTACATTGCGAACGGAAGGTCGCACACCTTAAAGACATCTCGTTTGAGTCACCGGGTTTGCAATTGAAATCCCGTAACCGTCAACTATCCAAATGCTCTCACCATCACTTAAAATTACGAAATGGTGATTGACATAAAACCACAGAAACAAGGGAATCGGTAAAATCTCCAAGTGGATTTTAAGCTTTTCATCCGGAACAAAATCCATAGACATGCACAGGGGGACTACGCTTTCTGAACACGGGAAAGTCACTCACTAGGAAGCCTTCACCGATTTTCCTAAATACCAAATTTTGAACCCACGACAATACTGCAGAAACTGCGACGCAAGACGCTCCAGCTCGACAGTCGAGGATTTACGCTGGCCAAGCCATTCGATTTGGTGAGGACCAATCTCAATGCATCAATCCATTTCGGGAAAGCAAGAAGGACGAAATCGATCAACTGGTTCGCAATTTCTGGAAGAAACTGAAGGCAGGTGTTTGCTTTCTTTGGATGATACTGACGTCACGTTGAAAGGGGTTGAAATCAAAGCCCTCCAGTGAACATGGAACACAAGACCTTACATAGCATCGGTAAGCTTCCTACTGAGCCGCACCAGGACGACTACTGCATGGAACTTAACCCTGAGAAATTCTAAAGAGAATTTGAACAGAGTTAGTCCTGAGATAAATGTGCAAGAACATCAGAACTCTATTCAGTGGAATTCGCCATGAACAACTCACTGACGAAGACTCAAATGAACTACATGGAAATTGGCCTAAATACCCAACCTTACAATCTCGAATCAATTGTGACTCATAACGTCGACGAAGTCTTTGTCTATGTGCTGGCCTAAATGCTCCTGGGACTAAGCATGATGAAGTTGTCGACGAACACCCCTCAACGGCTTGAAGTCCTACACACACAGATAAATTTCCATAGTTAACGGAAACGAACATCATCATTCATTAGCAACCCACCAATCACTAGGATCTTTAGTACATCAAAACCTCCCCTAAACTTTGAAGTCTATATTCAGCTCCTACATTCCTCTGCGTTTGGGAGAACAGCAAAATAATTCGTCTCGAATTGACAAGTAGAGACATCAAATAAGACAGTCGTACTCTCTTAATCTTCGTTCCCAAAGCCAAGGAGAGGGAAGAAAACAAAAAATTATTAAAAACAGAAACAAAAACAAGGTTCAATTCCGCTTACGAAATCAACCAGATTAGTGAGACAGAAACAGAGTTAGCCGAGGCTTGCATAATTACAATCCAAAAGCATTCGGAGAGACCCCCCCCCCCCCTCAGGGAAATGACGGGGGAGAATTCTATGCCAAATTTCCCCGTACATAAAATTTCCCTGACGATCATCTCCACGACACCAGCAAGAACCAAAAAAAACACACCAAAACGTATCATGAAACACTTAAGTACCCTAAAGCAACCTGTCCCGCCAGTGACTCAGAGGACAACCATAAGGCAGCCTGAGTCTCATTGTTCTCTAATCAAAAGTCAAAAGAAAAGCGACACGGGCACCGACGATGGGCACAAAGAAACGGTCACTCATCTTAGAAACCACAAGCTCTCATCACGCAAACAAAAACGCAGAGTAATAACTACCATCTCGAACTCTCCCCCCATCAGAAACACACCTCCTCTACCAATTGGGCCAAATCCAACGGATTTTCAACCAACGCCTCGAATCATCAACACCTGGGTGTCATATCCTTGCTTGGCAATGGCAACCACCCCTGCACCTCGCCCCTTAGAGCCAATTCCACCTCAAACGTGCTCTCAATCCCATTATACCATCACCGTCTCGCTGAAATCCCCGCGAGCACAGCATTTCGCCTGCTCCTGGCGATCACGAGCGCGTCGGGCTTTGAAGAGGCGCCGCACTCACCGACAAGGGCCGCAGCCACCTTCTGTTAAAGCGCACCGCACCAATTCTTTTCCAAAAGAGGTGAAAACCGAAGCAGCGGAATTGGACTTTCAGCATTGATCTCTATAAAACCCATCTGCGCGATACTTCCATCGCTCAGATGGGTTACATCAAACAATGTAATCTTCTTTGTGTTTTAATAACTTAAGAGATTACATAGTTGTATTAAACTTAAGAGAAGAAACAAAGTTTTTGACTTTGCAAAAAAATTATACATGTGAATAATTGAAAAATACTTTTAAATTTTCACCTTCATATATTCTAGTATTAATGCCTCCTATTTGTGGATTATATTTTTTTATTTATTCAAATAAATAAATAAAAAAATAAAATCTCATTGTAAGATTCATATGAATGAAGAATTATTTACAATCTATTCTTTTAAAAAGAAATCAACCCTTAACATTACATGGTTGAAACCAAGTCTAGTATGCTTAAAACATGCATTTTAAAAATTGTATTAAATAGAAACCAAGTGCTATCTCTATAAAAGTTTGCAAGTTGACAATTGCGTGGATTGAAGCCAAGTCTAATTATTTTGAAACTTGCACCCATTGACTTCAAATGGGTTGAATCCAAGTCCAATCTTATTAGACATTATCACCTCAAAGGTCATGAATCTAAGGCACTTAAACTAAGTTAGTCTTTCTTGGAATTAAACCAAGTTAGTCTTCCTTGAGATTAAACTAAGTTAGTCTTCCATTTTTCAAGCAAATTCTTTCTATAAAGTTGCAAAGTTTGACTTGAATTTCAATAAATTATTCTTTGCTTGAAGAATGCCTTCTTTTCCATCTTTATTTGGCAAGCTTTCCTAAGACTTGGGGTTTCCAAGCCAAATAATTAAGCCCAATTAGTATGTTGATGTGGTGGATGGATAGGCTTGAATTATATGCTACTTGCTATATTAGTCTACCTTGGCACATTCCTTCTATTATCAAAGAGGTGTAGTTTTCTACAATCTAAAGCTTGAGAGATTAAAACCAGCTCATATTCCAATATGGATCATAACCACCAAGGTCTTTCAAAGCTATTAGATGCTTTCACATACAAAATATATATATATATATATATATATATATATATTTAAATAAATTTATATTTATTTACATTTATGAGTGCTACATAATTTTGTAGACTGAAATTTTGAAGTATTGCCCTTTCCATGAAATAAATTGCAATTATGTCGTTTGATAGACTTTGTAATTTGAATGTTATATTGGAGGATTGAAGTGGTCATTACAAATAACTTGTTGATAAAGAAATCACTTATTGATAAATCTGAATGGAAATTCCTTTAAGACTTCTGTGGCCTTAGTTGGCAACTTAATCCATTACATTTTCATTCTTGTATTTTTTTTCCTATTTCAAAATCATGTTACTTTTAATTAGAATAAAAATAGCTTTAATTGAAAATCACAGGGTTCCTAAAAAATTTAAGAAAAGTATTTTAATAAATTCTTTTCACAGAATTAAAAAAAAAAAAAAAAAAAAAAAATCTAAGAAAAACAAAATTACAAAGAATTTTATTACTTGTTCCAATCAAGTAAATGATCACAGAGACGTCAATATATTAAATGTCATTTGACTATTCATTCTTCACTTTTATTTTAAATATTAAATATTTCAAGCTTTTTGTTATGAAAGTAAGAACTATAGCCACTTCAGTTATAATTAATTAGCAAGAATTATTTCAAGAAAAAATAATCATAAAAATGTTTGTGATGTATGAAATAAGTCATTAATTTCACACACCCCAGCAAACACATAAATTAGGGTTTGATTAATGCACATTAATTCATTCATTCATTCATTTGATTTAAGGAAGTTTTCAAAATTAATGTAGAAACAATTGAAATTATGTAATTCTTAAAAATCATAAAACATAAAAGTCATTTATATCCTTCAAGTTGGTGCTATTTTTTATTATTATTATTATTATTATTATTCATCTACATTTGAAATCATCAAATTGTGTATTTGGTATATATTTCAACATTTGATTAAGCTGTAGGATGTGTCATTAAGATACAGAATACTTCACGAATTTTTCTTCATACAAAATTTTAAAGACCAAAAAAAACTTGAAACTTATCCTAGATCATGATCATTTGGATTATGGAATCTATAATAATAAAGAGAAATAAACATATTATATACATATATATATATATATATATATATATATTCATAGATATAAATTACAAAAAAAATAATCAATAAAATTATTTTTGGAGGTTGTTTATCTCAAAGTACTAATAAAATTATATGTTACTTTAAAAATTAATAAATTGTGTGAATATATTATGATCATCACACAATGGAATTTTTAAATAATACTTTTAAGCTCTAGATTATTTTTGAAATAGGGTTTAAGGTTTACATATAATAATGCTTTTTAAAAAATAATAATAATAATAATAATAATAATAATAATTTCTAATAGCCTTTTTTAAATTACATGTATGTGTATATGTATATAAATGTATGTATGTACACAAATAAATATATGTCAATATTTTGGACTGATGACATCTAAACAATAGTGTAACTTATTATAATAACATTCTGGAGTGATTTATTTTTTTATTTTTATTTTTTTGTAAAATACATGTAAACATAATAATCCAAGTTTGAGATTTGCACAAATTTTTTGAGTTTGCAAGTTCATGATTTTAATATAAAAGATTTAACATTTAACATTTACAAACTTTTTTGTGCCACCATAAAGACGTAAGACTGTTTATTTTTTTAGGTAATCCAAGATTTTAGAATCACATGTTATCATAATTATGCAACAATTCGGGTTTTTTAATACTTGGGTCATCACGTTCTTTTTTCTTTGTTGCTAATAAATGACAAACTAAACATCAAAAGCTCAATAGAGTGCATTTGCAATCTAATTGCTGAAAATTTTCTACATTAAGAAAATATAAATAGCACAAATTTAGCAAACAATCAAACACCCAAATTAACTTGAAATTTGTAATTTTGTGGTATCCTTCAAAAAATTTAAATGTTTCCTCGAAAACATGATTAAATGAAAGCACAAACAAGCACAAGTGCTCAACTCAAAATCACCAGATCTTACACTATTTTAACTCTTTCGTTTCATCACATTTGTTGAAATTGGTCAAGTTAAGGTTGCTTTCAAGAGTAACATTGAATGGAAAAGTTGGAAGCAAAATCCACAATGAAGGGCCTAAAGCACGAAGCTAATTGCACTCCTCAAGTCATGTCAAAAAAGCCTTTACAACCATCACCGGAGAACACCCACAATCAATGTAAAGAGGAGTATATGAAAAGTTTTTACTGTCATTTGGGCACAAAGAACAAACACCCGGTTTGACAATCCATCTTAAACTCAAAACACCGTGATTTTGCAATGAATTTTTCAAAAAATAGATCAACTACTTTTCAAACCTAATAATTATACATATTTTGAAGTTTGAATCTAAGACATTTATTTATTTATTTTTGGGTGATTATTTACTCTACTAGTTCATTAAAAAAATGGGCTAAAATAGAGCAAATCACTATGGAATGCTTGTTGTCAAATGATTTTAGGGTTCTATTGATACGATGGTATCACAAACACCCACTTCAAATGTGCACCATAATTGTGTGAGCGAGTATCAAAGTGAGAAGAGCAATGCCAGTCGGAGATATACTCTGGTTAGTGTTTGGTTTTGGAGCTCAAATTGAGACCTAAAAATGCATCACTTTTGCAGAATTCTTCCGTGATTGTGTTTTTTTCATTATTGTATTCAATTAGGATATTTTTAATTTAAAATTTAAAAAATATAAAATAAGAAAGAGAGAATTTTGAAACATTTATGCAATGCAAAACATCACAGTGGATATAACTGTTTGGAAGTTCAAAAAGAACAATACAATTCCTTCTTTATTTGAATGTTCTAATCCTATTGACAATTGAACCAAGCAAAACATTCACAGATTCTGCAATAATTTTATAGCAAGAAGTTGATAGAGCTCAGTTAATCTTCAAACATGTTTATTTCTTAGAATTGTTTTGGTATTGTATGAATTTTGTAGCTTTCAAGAACAAGTGATGTTGAAGAAGAACTCTTTGGAAATAAGGGGTCTCATGGTAATAAAACTCAGGTACATGGAAAAGACCTAACTTTTAATAAATATAATAATTGATATAATTAATCCTTTTCTTTTTTTCTTTTTTTCACAAGCAAAAAAACCAGAGAACTTATATTTCAAAAACGGGTTTATTGTGTGTTTAGAGAAGTATAAAGAAGCATGAAGAAAGAAAGCCAATAATGGATGAAAATAAAGACACACTTTGTAAAGAAAATAATGTTGTTGTCATTAATTCAAATGATATTGATTTGATCAAAGTAAGTAATAATTTTCATATATATATTCACACAAAGTTATATTATTATAAATAATATATATATATATATATATATATATATATATTCAATTCTAGTTTCCCAAAGTAGGCAAGTAGTTCAAATTTTGATTGTTGACTAACAATTCAAAATATGTGACTTAGAAAAAAGCAATTATTGTAACTCAAGCTGTCATTGAAGAGCAAAAGAGGCAAAAAGAAGCTTTACTTGCAGAAAGAAATGTTAAAGCAAACCAAAGAAAGGCTCTTATGATTAAGGTGACATGATTTATTATCATAATTATACAAACTTAAATTCATTTTGAAAAATCAGATTTCAAGAGAATGAAGACCATCCTTTTCTTTAATTTTTTTAAACAAATTGAAAATTGAAAATTGAAAATTATGACTACATTAATTTATTAATTTTCAAGGATAATAATTTAGTTGGAAGCAGAGCGCAAGAAGAAGAGTGGGCCCATGTCTGACTCTGAAGTGTTGAAGAAGCAAGAAGATGCCTTGTGAGGAAGATCACTCTTATAAACACAACATTTCTCATTTTTTTTTTTTTTTTTTTTTTTATTGATTTTAATACTTATTTATGTTTTAAAAATGATGATTTTCCATAATTTTCTAAATTGTTCTTGTGTGTAAATAAATTACACATGATATTGAAAGTTGGTATTTTATATGACATCAAGTGGATTAGAACTTTGGAGGAGGCTAAACGTGCAATAGAAGAGAGAGAAGATGATGTCAAACTTATGAATTCAATTATGTCCTATTCAAAATGTGTAACTCAACGCGATGCTCAAAAAAATGATAGGGTATATATATTTATACTAACCAATTCATTTATTTTTTGTATTTTTTTTTAAAAAATTGTGCCTTTAAAGTGACAATTATAGAGCAACCTTCATGGGGTGTTTGATCTTCAAATGAATGATGAATTTATAGTTTTAATGTAAAATGCACATAGATCAATAGAGAGAAAGAAGAAAAAGAATACAACCAGAAATGGCATGTAATAATGGAAGCTGCTCGGCACAAATTGATTGATTTTTATGAGAATGAAGAAGAGAAAAAGAAAATTGATAGACGTGCGGGAGCCGCCATTGTGCGCCAACAAATTGCTGTACAAATTTCACATAATTAGGACTTGAAGCTTGTATAATTTCACCCATTAGTATTCCAAATTGCTTTCAAATCGTTCCATTGAACTAAATGAGAGTTTCATCACTTCTTTAGGCTTTTGTGTTCAAAAAATTGTTTTTACATTACTTATATTAAGAATGATAGTTGTACATTTATCCGCTTCATTATGAAACAAATAAAAAAATATTAATATTTATATGGGTTTTTTTCCATCAAATATAAAAATAAAATAATATATGGTTATCACTTCACAAAATTTCGTATTTTTTAGTATTTTTTTAGTAAGAATTTTCTCTTCTAATATATTCTTGTGTGTTGAGTAGCACAATGAAATTCAAAAGCAAATTGCAGCTGAGCAAAAATTACAAGAAGGACTTAAACTTCAACGAGAATTTAAGAATATTATGGAAGAGGAAGAAAAGAAAGCAGAAGCAAAGAGGCTTGAAGGAGTAGCATTGTTAAAATATATAGTAGATCAAAACAAAGAAGAAGAAAAAGTAAAGAGAAAGGTAGAAAATAAATTACCTCAAATTTTAACTCACATTCCAAAACATTGAATTGTCATTTTTTGCATAGTGAGACGTTAGAAATGTTTGGATATTACGTTTGGACCTCAATGTCACATTTTTAGAATCGCCATTAAAACCACATTGAATTTCAAATAAAGAGACAAAAAAAAAAAAAAAAAAAAAAAAAAAAAAATCCTTCTATAGATATTTTGTTCAAAAAAATTGGAAAACTATTTCATAGATGTTCATTGCATGAGTTGATATATATATTTTTTGTAGATGAAAGAAAGGGAAATTATTGAAGAAGAAAAGAGAAATGCATACATATTTGCAAAAGATCAACGAGAGCAAGCGTATAAAGAAGAACAAGAGAGGATACAAAAACAAAAAGAAATAGAAGCGAGTAGAATTAGGGTTGCTCAAGAAAGAGCAAGTGGAGCTTCAGCAGCATTGGAAGACTTAAGAAACCAACGCATATTTGTAAAATCAATTATAATTCTACTTCTTTACTCTCTTATTTACTTTTTTTAATATTTCAATGAACTATTGTTTATACATGATTTGTCACTTACTACAAATCTCATGTGTCAATAATATACATTTAATCTACAATGTGATATTAAAGCCACAATTGCGACTTGCCAAAAGATTCATTTGATGAAACATAGTGCTTTATTTTGTGAAGCTTTTTTTTTCTTTTGAATAGGATTAGAATGACTTCCATTTATTCATCACGGGATGTCGTAATTTTTTTATAATTTAGATTTTAAAATGCTAGCTTTGAAAAAATCTACTTTATTCAAATGAAAAAAACTAAATTATTCAAATTAAATTATAGACAAAGAACTTTTAATTTGAGATTTTTCAATAACTGGGTGCTTTTATTTATGTAATCTATACTGTGGTCATATAAATAGGAAGCCCATGAAAAAGCATGGAGAGAAAAGGAAGCAGCTGATGCAGAAAAAATGCGCCGAATGAATGCAGAACTTCATTTTGCACGTGAGCAACAAAAGTTTCTAAAAGCAAAAGAAATTGCAGATCAGGTATGTGTGAATGCATCCATGTATATGTGTGGATATATATATATATATATATATATACCATTTTAAACATGATTATATGGAAATAGTAAAGAGAAATCTAATATGTAATCAATTTAATGAAATTGGATTTCCAATTAGAAAACCAAATTTTTAGTAAAAAGTTATAATTCCAAATTTTAATAGGATAGAGATATTGCAAATCATTTTTATTTTTATTTTTTTTACTTTTTTTTCCTAAATCCATCCCAGCACTTGAAGCTAAAAAAAACATCACATGATGATTCATGAATTAAATATAGGCCATTGCGGTGGAACAAGAGTATTACAAGATCTTAAAACTTCAAAAAGAAGGAATTGAATTGGAAAAGAAAGAAGAGGAAAGATTGCATGAAGCAAGGATGAAGAATCTTTTCCACCTCAAGGAACAAATGAAGGAAAGAGAAGAAGCCACAAAAGCAACGGCAAGAGAAAAAATCCTCGAAGGTGAACATCTAAAGCAAGCCAAGCGTGTTGAAAAATTGAAATTAGCAAAAATCAAGGAACGCAAACTCGATGAACTTATTAAGTGTGGTGTACCTCAAAAGTACCAAGTGGATCTCATTAAACTTAAAGTTGGTATCCCTTGACTATGCTTTTAAATGCATAATGTGTGCAAAAAGTTATTTTGCTTGAACAAAATTCTAGTGTGTTTCTTTTCTTTATCTTTTTTTAGATTTTTCAATATTTTTTGATGGTTCTAACTTTCATGTTGAGATTAAAGATGTGAATAAAAATTTTAGATCTTGATATATTAAGTAAGTAGCTAAGTATTCAAGTAAAATTGACAACACAAAGTAGAACAAGTAATTAACAAAACTCCATAATTGGGATTTTGACATGTGAAGCAAAAACAAATTATTTATATATACATATGAAATTTGAGATTTATATATATACATATATATGTATCGTTGATGCTTTTATTGATTCATCCTATAAAATCTTGTATTTTTTAGCAATAAGTTTATTATCAAAAAAAAACTAAAAATGATGAAATAATTGTAAGATTTGGGGCTTTTTTTGTTCAAAAGGTATGGAGAAGCATGGTTACTTTTTACTTCATTGATGTATAATGACTAACTTTCAAATTGATATGATATTATAAACGCAACACATACATATGACTACATATAGAGAGAGAGTTTATAGCAAGGCATTCCAATCCCAGTTGGTTTTTTTTGTTTTTTTTTTTTTTGTTTTTTTTTTTTTTACATAGAAAACACAGCTTTCAAATTGAATGATGACTATATTATAATATGTAATCTTATCTAGAAGCCACTCTAGGAAAAAGAACACTCTTCTATAAAGAATATTTTTTAAAGTTGAATACACTTCAAAAATTCAGGAGCCTACTCTGCATGGAAATGTTCCAGAAACCTTTTCAAAAAATAGTAAAAATGAGAAAGTTAATTCCTCAGAAATTTGAAGTCAATTTTTATGCTAAAGAAGAGGAGAGTGATGCAACTGTGTCATGCTCCATGGTCTCAAGAGTTGGCTGCTTTTGAATCCTTATATTAAAAAAACTGAAGTGCCAAAGAAAGACATCATTGGGAGCCCAGTCAAATTAAACTCCAACTACACTGTGTTTTTCAAAGAATTGTTTCCTGTACCGTGCACTTGTGACTCATATTCTTTGGAAAAAGATTTGCTTCTAAGAAGTAGAGCAAAATAAGAAGCGAGAATAAAGAATCCGACTTCAAGTTTTTGTTCGAGTTCTCATTTCAGCCACCAGTTCCCCTTCCATAGTTGCAGGCATCAATAGGACGCACCGAGACCTGGTATTGCGGTTGTGACTTCCCATTTTCTCTTTTGAAAGCATCATTTTGGAGTTCATCCAACTGCTGATTACTTGTTTACCTTAACCAGCTTTCACTCTAGATGGACGTTCGACGTAGCCAACCACGGCAGAGGCTTATCTTCTCTGCAATACTAGACACGATTGCCTCAAAAGACTCTGGTTTAATACCGAACAAAATCCCACATCTGGAGGAATCTGCATTAAAATCAAGTCATGCCTGTTTTCCCACATGGTTATCAAGCCATCTAAATTAAGAAACCCTTCAAAATGTTGAACGATTTCTGTGCCCACGAACTTTGAGATCCCACAAACCCTGTCAACGAATGTGGTTGGAACCTGAAAACAAATGAAAGAAGTCAAAACTGCCAGTATTTCAATAATTCACCACAAAATAAGACTTGCCAATACACGCTCAAATGACGGATCACATTGACATGTAGTCTCTGTACACATGCAATTGCCATAACCTGGTAGGTCGGATAATACCTCGGTTCGCTAATTTGAGCCGCAGGTCTCAACTGTGAACACTTTTTCCTTTTACATACCGAGTTCCTGTGACAATATCTGCATTTGTTTCCAACTGCTTCCTGTTCATTCCCAGCTTCACTTGCCATAGGTTAAGATGCTGATACAGCAATACTACTGACCCTCAAGGTTACTGAAACATCAACAGCGATGAAACATATACGATTAGGATTACAAATTTAGCTTCTTCCAACAGTGTAATTGATCAAACCTAATATAGAACGTTTATTCTCATGCAAGACAAATTGAATGAAATATGAAATCATTTACAGAAAAATCATAACCACACTTACGACTAAATTCTACGATCAAATTTATAGGTCCAAAATTTATCACGCAACCTTAAAAACGAAATTTACATGGTGAGCAAGATCAGTATCCAGAATAATGATCAAGTCACCAAGTGTGTATCTCAGACCATGCACAATCGCAGCTCCTGGAATATGGAATAATGATATAAAAACCCATCGAAATCCCACCAGAGCTTCCAGGTCAGTGACAGTTTGCTATTCATTATCCCTAGCATGAACTCAGTGCAATCCCAGAGTAGAAAAGAGCATGACATTCCCGACACACCCAGATGCATCTCAACCTAGATGCATCTTGGTGGTTTGCACCTTGCTGCGAGTAAGCTTGGGAAAACTTTGAGTGAAAGTAATGCCTAATTCCAGTTTTGCGGCTCGAAGTATACGCAACTGCAAAGAAATAGACCAGAAACAGAGTAACGAAACGGTGAAATATATCAGCAATATTGAAAAAAATAAGTCGCCATCGAAACTGAAAAGTTTAGAAGGTAAACGAATCGAGAATACGAGATCCTACAAAGACCAAAGTAAAGGATTCGACATACAAGATTCCGCCATTACTAATCTGAAGAATTAGTTTTGAGATTGATGATGATCTAACTATCCGACTCTGGCCGCAAGTTCTTTGCAATGTCGTCATTGTGTCTTGCGTTTCGCCAGAGCTTGCATCTTCGACAATTATTATCTCAAAATTATACTGTACGCTCACAGTGCAAATAAATACCAGTTATTTGATCTACACCATACTCAGATTCTGGGTGTTTTCAGAAGCTTACGAAAAAAAACACCAGGCTTCAAACATCAACTTGCCCAAGTGCCACAAAATATATCAAAATGCCAACAAGTAGAGCGCACGAAAGGTAAAATCGAATTCACTCTGAAACCCTAATTCTTGAATTACCCATGCATGAATGCAAATTGATCAAACCATACCTACCCGACACTATCAATCCATCAACCTCGTTTCGCAGCGAACAAGTAGGAGTCCAAAATAGTGCTACGAAATGGAATAAAACAAAAAGAGACTCACTTCATGTGCTTGAAGAGGAGGAGGTACATGAGAGCGATATTGAGACACAAGTAGTAGGTAAGGACGAATATGCCGAAGAAAATGTGGAGAATTGCGTAACGTCAAAGCTGAGCCCATCACGGACATTCCGGCGGTGTTCACCACAAACTCTGCCTTCCCTGAAGCTCTATTCCTCTTGTTGGCAATCAAAAGCGCCGTTCATGAGGCTTGCAGGGCAACAGATGAGCTGCGGCCATTAGAATATTGTAAAAATTAGATTGGCAAGCGGGAACTCTTTGAGATGTCACGGCTCATCATAGCAATGCCACAGGATTCTCTGGGACAGAAAACCATCCTACCAGTGGGACATTCAACAATTGGAACACTATTGCGGATGCAATTTCTATGCACCGAGACGGAATCCTGAGGGTGATACGACACGTCACTCTGAGAACAAGATAGTCTTTACTCATTGATGTAGACTTTCACAAATGTTGCGCAATTTCATGTCGTTTAGTAAGACAGATGACGGAGAAAGCTTAGTCTAACCTCCCCAGTTCATACACTGGTGGGGGGATCCAGAGAACTCACTTGCACCAGCCTTCACTAGTTGGAATGTCGGTGTGCAAAAGGAGGCACTGGAATACATATGTTTCTCGACTCCTACACAGCCATTATTCAAGCTTTCACAGATACTAGCCATCTGCACAGCCTAGAGTAACTGTGGGTAGCTCCACATCTCGTACTGTCACGAATAACGGATTATCCTGCCGGATCACAAAGATGAGATATTGGCGCTAAGGAGGTAGATACCGTCAGGGTGGTTCAAAAGAAGTCGTCATGAAACATTTCCAGAAGTGTGAACTCCATTTCCTATAATTGACGTAGCATACAAATAACCTCACCAGTTATAGCTGGAGCACTACGAATTTTTACCTATGGGCAACTTCCTTTTGAACCATACATTCAAGCTGTAGACGGACAATATTCAGAAGAGCCTGACTCGAACATGTACAGTGAACAAGCACAACCAAAGGAAGATCAAGAATGCTGCGAGCAAGCAAAAAATCAGGTTGATGAGCACATAAACTCGGACACCAAAGTGAAACAATCTGGGCTCTCAAAGAGCATGCCATATACAGTAGGTGTGGAGATGAACGTTGTTTCCACCATCGTCATCTTTTCCATAGAAGTCTCTGATCGATTTGAAGTAACATGTGCTACCTTCTTTCCCTAATCACTATAACCCTTGCAACCATTGACACTGCTCCTCTTGTCGCAGTTACATTCACAACATCTCAGTTGTTCTGAAGGCAACTTTATGAATGAACAGAGGAGCAAGTACTAAAAAAGGGAACAAACACTTCAAAGAAGATAACTTCATACTACTAGATCATGAGGGAGTATCTTCATTCAGGGGCAAACTGCTTCCATGGAAGGTGACTATACAGAACAATTCAGTAAGTAAAAGGTACCATGTATAGGCCATGTTTACAGAAAGTAATCAGGAGTCTTCCGCGTCACATCTGGTTCACTTTGCCGCGGTGCTGGTTCGAACTGAAGAAAAGACCGATTCATTGTTTCATCTATCTCCATTATGGCGGCCATGTTCCCACAGCGGTAACAGTAATTGGGGGCACTGAAAACTGTGACAACATTTTTATCCTGCACCTCAAAAAGTGTTCATGAAGTTAAGGCACAAAGGCTGGAATTCGGATGTTCAGCAAAAACTCAACAAACACAGAAGCCAAACAAGTTCAGGAACCAAGACAAAAGTGATAAATCAAAAAACAACGATGAGTAATACCACTTCAGTGTAGACACCTAAACTAGGACAGGCCAAGATAATCGCAGAAGACCACGTGAATAACATAAATAGACTACATTTTCTCTGTTCCACCCTAATACTAAGACTGCACTTGGTAAGCGCAAAGTGAGAAATAAAACCCCATCCGACCCGAAATCAATAGTTTACAGATTCTCCAAAAACATGTAAGGGCAAGTAACGCTACATTTGTTCCATGCAGATATGGCTTCAAACTGCACGGCAGCAATTGAAAGCGGAAGTACTGCAATAGGGTGACAAGTACACGGTCAAGCAGCACAACACCGGGGATGTAAGGGAAACGCACCTGGCACCAATTGTATCCTTCCATCACAAGCTGGTGAGCACGTGCAACCAAACTTAGACCATTGGTATGATTGAACTGCTCTGCAATATCTTGACCAAAAGTATAACCGGCACCTCGTGGTGAAATACCCCATCCACAACGATCATCTGGATCAGACCAGAGTAGATCACACATCGGGCCCTCGTGCGGCACTTCTTGAATACGATCTAGGGCTCGGATGTGATCTAATGTGTCGAGCGATGGAGACAGACCACCATGAAGACAAAAAATCTGTCCACAAAAAGCATGTTCAGGTGAAGGTGGAAATGAAAAGTGAGCAACATATGAAACCAGGAAAACTGGACGGCAGCAGAAGAGTAATCTACACACTACACCTACCAAGTCCTAATCAACGTACTATCAACGGAATCTTCTGGCTTCCATGGGCAAAAACAAGATGCGACAACGCAACCTCGCAAGAAGATGGATGTAATTTAAACGGTATATCTAGATCCTTTTTCTGCTTCTCAAGGGGTCCTGCTACTTCCTCGTTTAAACGTTAGTGCAATACCTCGTGCTCAATGAGAGCTGTCAGAGGCAGGTAGTCGAACAGATCCGTGAAGTACTTCCAAACATTCGCATTTCCATACTTCCGCAGGCATTCATCATAGAAACCATATCTGCAACAAAAAGCCAATCAGATAAACGTTAGGAGCAAACTACATACAGTTTGATGGGATTTTTTGGGTCGCCGTTGCAACTCTCAAATAAACATACACAATCGATCACAACTCCAAGACAGCACACACTCGATAACATGTGCAGTACCCTAGCAGTTAGACATTTTGAGTATAGCTTATCAAAGGAACACCAGTAACCAGGAAGAGTAAAGCTACTTACACTTGCGTAATCTGCCTGCTCTCGTGGTTCCCTCGCAAGATTGTGATCCTATCCCTATACCGCACCTTCAGGGCCACTAAGAGCGACACAGTCTCGACAGAATAATATCCACGATCTGCAACAGAGCAAACAAATGCTTAACTATCTAATGAGACCCATGAACAAAACAAATACTAAAATTAGTATCTTGGGAGGCCTCAGAGTTTCATGACGTTAAAATTAACAGGCCCAAAGTCGAACATTATGCTGCCGGGCACTATAAATTAGCATTCAGTCAGTGTCTCCTGAAAACGCCTCCCTGGCGAAGGTAGAAATGAACACCTAAAAACACACCGTATATTTGATTACGAGGGACATCATCATTTTTTACTTTGCTACACAGCCATCATTAACAATTTGAAACCGTCGCACTCTACATACAGACTCGATTATTTTTCACATGCCGCAGTTTGTGTGTTAAAAATTCAGCCTCCTCGGATACAGTAGATTGTGTTTCGACTCTCACGTTAGAAGTTGAGTCAGGTCTAGAAGACAAGACTCGGTTCCTCAGAAAGCATTCCTTAAGTCGTAGTTTAGACCAGCTGCTTCAACTATCACACTGTCGAATCACCACATTCACTCATACTAAATGAGATGAACCTGCCTATGACCTGCCTGCAAGGCATTCCTCCTGATACCTTGAAGAAGGAGAAGGGAGAGGAAAAAATAAATAAACAAAAAGTATAAAAGGGCTTGTGAAAGCTTATGTTCTAATAAACTGAATTTCTCGTACAAGGCCTGTACTCCAAAACCAGGTCCTTCAGCTTATAGTTAAACATTTACAGACGAAAGTGACTTCTAAGTGAATGCGACTAAAAAAATGAATGTCACAAAGATGAGACGAGCAGAAGGAACCAGGCCGCAGGTACAGATTAGACATCTAGGGTGATCTTCTGATTGAAGATTACATACAGTTACAACCCCACTCTCGGCATTATGGTTTAAGACAGTGCACACGTTGACATTCTCCAATGAAGAAAATTCTCCATCAGCACCGGTTTTTAGACTACGTAGAAAACCTCGTGCACCAGTTCGACAAATAAAGATCTACTTCCCGGTCAGAAAGACACACCATTCTGAAGAGAGCAAGCTGAAAAAATCTAGAACAAATTCCGAGCCCACGGAAGCAAACGCAAACCCAGCAAACCTCCCCGCATTGAGAGTATAGTACAGAGCTCTCGTAAGAGGGGAGGAGTTGTATCCACAAGAGTGCAAAGTTTCAGAAGGATGAACAGAAGGAAACTGAGTACAAAATCCAGGCAAAAGCCTACAAGAGGCACAGAGATTCTAGAGCTGATCCTAAAATCCCACGAATGAGAAGAGAGGAGAAATCCAAGGAAAAAAAGCCCCATCCGACATCACAGTTTACTTGCCACAGATGCCATCTTCGATGGGTCGCAGACACAATAAGAGAGGGCCAGAACCCGCAATAGAAAAGAAGAAGCCTTTCTAGTAGAACCGAAGTAGGGATAAACTTGCACCAACTCACCCACATAGTCGCCCATGAACAAGTAGTTCGTGTCGGGCGCCCTGCCTCCTATGCGGAAAAGCTCGATGAGATCATGAAACTGGCCATGGATGTCACCGCAAACCGTGACAGGACACTTCACGGGCTGCACGTTCCACTCCTCCACCAAGATCGTCCGAGCTTGATCACATAGGTTCTTCACCTCCAACTCCGACAACGGCTTGCACTCCGACAGCTGCTCTATCTGCCGGTCTACATCTGCATATGACGGCATTGTCCCAACCTCTGCCCTCCCCCCTGGCACCAAACCCTAACCGATCCGCTCTCCTCCGCGCTCCTCCGTCACCGCTCTCCAACGCTACTCCCGTCGACCACCTACACAAGCTTCCGACTGCTTCTCACCGCAGACAAATCCTCTCCGTCCGTGTTCCTCAACGCTTCCCACGCATGCGCTCCACCCCGCCGATCCAGCTACCAATCTGCTCCCGCCCCCGCTCACAGTGGCAGGAAAACCGCGATCCCGCACCGTTTTCCGATCCGTAAAAGAAATATATCACAGCGAACGGGTAACGTCGCTGTTGAAGGCGGTGCCTGCGCCCGAATGCGCCCGTCGGCTGCTACTCTGCACTTGAGAGATGGCGCTGGGAGTGGGGCTGGCGCATCAAAGGGGACGCGGGAGTCCAAACTAAGACAAACAGCCGGCTATGAGCACCAGCCCCCCTCTCAAACCTCCACCCCCGATGGAACGAAAGTTCTCTTTCTCCCCCGCCTTACCTCCGTTCCCCTTTGTTCCCGTTCCCGTTCCCGTTCCCTTCTCTATTTTTCCCATATTCCACGTAGGATATTCGTGGGGTTTGAGCCAATGTCATGGTGCCGGCTAGGTGAGAAAAACCGGCAGCCCTGAGGAGTTGGAGCTACGGTGGCGGTGGGGTGGACAGCCCTCCGCCAGACTCCCCATTCACACTAAATATCCTCTCGCATTCTCTTACTCTCCCAGCCACACTATTTGTCTTCGACGTAAAAAAAAAAAAAAAAAAAAAACAGAACATTACACGTGGACCCGTTTGCCCACGTGGAAGAAGATGAGATGTGTCATGTTGGATATTATGCTCGCACAGCATGTTTAACAAAATATAAAAAATTTTAATGCTACTCCCTAACAAACATTTTAAAAGCATGGGTCATTGCTAAAACTATTTTTACTCGATTATGTTTTTGGCCACTACTTGAAAAATATAATCATCCAACTACACAACAAGCATTGAAAAGTCAAAACATAAACTTACCATATTATCAATTGCAGTTTCGTAATTCTGTATGACTATAAGAGCACACTTATATATATATATATATATATATATACATATATATAGATACCATAAACTAAGAATGTACTGCGTATTATTTGAAAATATGTGCAAGATTAGAGCTATATTTTTACATTTGTTTCGGGTTTATAAAGTTTTAAATTATTATTTCTTGTGCATAAAAAACTTGAGTACTTCAAACAAATCCACTTAGCCTCGTAAAAATAAATAAATTAATGAATAAATAAAACATGAAGTCTCAAGCAATAACAGTGAACTATCATGCATAAAAATGTAGTTTTAACCCAAATAAACTCATTTCAAAATATTTTGAACATTTTAAAATAAGATTTTATACGACAGTTTTTTTTTCGAAATTACAACAACCAATATTTTAGATTTGAATGTGATGGTATCACTTGTAATTCATTAACATATTATCATTTTTTTATTAAATTTTAAACCACAAATAAATTTTATAATTCACAGTGTTATAAAGAACATTAAAATATAGTTTATACATATTTACACTCACTTTTAAATTTATGTATAATATATTTTAAAAAATCATAAAATATTTTTATGTAATAAATTTAATGAAATAAATTTAATAAGCTTATATACTTAATAATGATTTTCATTAGGTAGATACATATTCATATAAATATAAGTACATCAACTATATAAACATATGTAGTACTTTATGCAATACAATATACATTGCATAAATAGTTGTACTATATAAATATATGTACATTATAGCTGTATCTTTTAAAGTACAGCTACAAAGTAATTATTTTAGATATATTTTATTATTAAGATATAAACAATTTATAGTTATGCTATGCTAATATAATGCTTAAATTATAGTTACATTAATTTTTGTTTTTACTCTGATTTGGATAAATAACTTTAATACACCTAAAAGTAGTACATTAAGATAAAATCTTACACATTTGTCTATATATGTATATTTTTCAATGAGTGTCTTTGATATTTATTAATAAATATTGCATGTGTAAGTTTTTTAAAAACATTTGTAATTTGAATTTAAAAGAAATTATTGTTGATAATAAAGAAAATGGTATCATTGGAAGAAAGTTCAATTGTTCTTTGGAATTCCTTATTAATAGCATCACTTCAATAACATAATCTATAAGCTTCATAAAAACCAAGCAAGAACCATGACAAAGATTTAGATCTGAAACAATGATTTTTAACAAAATAATAAGACAACCAATCTTAAGTTCTAACTTTGATGGAAGTTTTTTACACTACTTCAATGAGTTAAATTATTTTTTTGGATATGATTTCTACTAGTTGGTTCATCTTTTGTTACAATTGTATGTGCTCTAAATTAAGTTCAATTATTTTTTAAAAAATAAAAGACTCTTTAACAATATTATTAATATCTTTATTGTGTTTATTAAATTGACAACTTTATTAAACTATGACTGGTGCATGTTCTTTTACTTTCTAATTCAAGTACTTTTTATTTAAGTAAAGATTCTACATTTAAATCACCTTCATACAACTTGGAAATAATCCTATATTTAAGCACCAATAATATAATTTTGTCCTTCTTTTAAAACAACAAGAAAAATTATTCAAAACTTACTAACAAAAACATATATATATATATATATATATATATATTCTTATTTATTTATCTATTTATTTTAGAATATTGTATTGAAAAATTTTAAAAAATCATGTTAAAGATATAATCTTATAAAAATTATTACAAAAATATTAAGATTGATACTTAAAAGATTATCTTATATTAGATATGGTTGAAATTTGATTCTAAGTCACAAAAAATATTGCCTATTATAAATGGAGGTTCTTTAAAAAGGTTAAGAATTAAACTCAAAAAATTAGTTTTAAGATCATCTTAAAAGTTTAAGATAAAAATAGTTATAATATATAAAAAAATCTTCAATAAATCAATCAAAATCAAGGTTTTGAAGAAAAAATAATGTTTTAAAAGGTCTAAAGAATAGTGTTAATTTTGAATTATTTACAATATTATATATGTATTTTATATATATTTTTTATTTTTGTGAATATACAAAACAAATATACTATCTTAAATTCTATATTATTTTAATAATACAATTAGAAGATATTTGATCATATACGTAAGGTTGTATACAAACATTTGAATATAAGATAAGTGACAATTTCTTATTTGTTTAGATTTTTATAAACTTAATAAAACAAAATAAAATGAGCTGCTAATAAATCATATTATATCTAAGATTTATACCAAGTTTAAAAAAAATCAATAATAAAAATTAGAAAATTATCTATTAAAATTCTTCACTAAACTTAAAATAAGAAGTTAACCAGTGTTATTAGGATTTTTATTCTAATAATTACCAATATTTAATTTTAGTTCTTTTTAAAATTTTCTAACATATATGAAATTTAAAGAAATGATGTTGTGAAAATTTTGAAGCTAATTAAATAATTCAATTAGAAATTTTGTCTAATTATTATTTCTTTATTAGAATTTGGAGTATCTTTAGGATTTGTTAAAATATGTTAAGATTCTATTCGATTTAATTGAATTTATGATTTAAAATTTATCTATATTTAATATTTAATAAGATGTAGAATTTAGATTTAAAAGTGTTTAGATTTCAAAGTCAATAAGATATAGAGTTTATTATTGTTTGGATTTAGCATTTCTTAAATTTATAATTGTAAAAATTTGGAATTTTAAGGAAGACTAAAGCTGCTTATAAATATATTTTTTTTAGCACTTTATATACTTGTAATTATGAAAAAAATACAAAATATGAAAGGTTTTATTCCACAACTAGTTGTCTTATGTATTTAAAAATTAAACTTTATGTAGTACAACAACATCATAGACTAAAAATCCGAGTAGAAACATCTAATAAAATAATATATAAAACTATTTTTTATAGTCTTTAAACCTTTAATGCAATTATATTATGCATGTATAATTTATCAATTTCTTTAAAATTAAAAAATAAATACTTTTAATTCTTATTGAATGTAAAACCAGTATAATATTTTTATAAAATATATGTTTTATCTATTATTTTAGAAAAAAAACTTTCAAGTTTTAGCATAGATTTTTCACATTTCCATGATATAAGCTTAGAAATCAACTTGTTATTACTATGTTCATTTTATTTTTAAGGCTACAAAAAGTAAGGATAGAAAATCTTCTAATTTTTTATTATATTATTGAATATTATTTTAAAAAAAACTATAATTAAATACTTGATCTTTTGTAGAATTTTTAAGTATATTTTTTTAAAACCAATAAAAAGTGTAAATTGTCACACATACTCTACTTATATTTTTTCTATAACTTTAAAAGATAAGATAACATATATTAAATTAAAATAATATAAAATAATATTTATAATTTTTTATTAATATTTATTTTTAATGCTTCTTGAAGATATTACATTGATTTATTTTTATTTTCTAATAATCTCAAATCCAAACATATGCTCTTAAATATATGATAAATTACACTCTTTATTTATAAATCTTTAAAAAACTAATGGTCTTAAATAAATATAAATAAAAATTTAAGATAAATCTTTTACTTGTATTAGGATCAATAAAAGAATTTAAAATATTTATTGAGTAACAAAAGAAAATAAAAATAAAACTATACAAATGCATTTAGAATATTAAAAATAAATATTATATATAAAAATAAATAAATCAAGAATGTGTTCTAATAGAAATTAAAATAAAAATTTAAGTATAGTTATTCCAAATACCATGATAGTACAATATTAATTTTCATGTTTGAATTATTGAAGAAAGAGAAGTTAGAAGCCATAATACTTAATATCAACAAGATTGTATACAAAATGAAATAAGGAGTAAGATTACTCTCACTTCCAACACTCTTTACTTATAGCTAGAATTTACATCAATTCTAAATGAATTTAATCATTTTTATTTTTCTTTCTTACATCTAACTAAATCCTAGATTCCTCTTATCCTTACCGCCACCTAAAAATCCTAGTCGCCACCATAATAACATATTTTAATTCTTTATTATCTTTTGACTATTAACAAATCACAATGATTTAATTCTATGTGGTGGCAACTATACAAGATCTTATTGACCTTCAAGACTTCCACTTTGCTAATTATCAAAAGGCTTTCAATTCTAATGCCTCTATCAACTCATAGTGTCTATTCTTTACCAATGCTTTTCTAAGCACATCAACAAACATGTCTTTTGTAGCACAATACTTCATACCTATTACTCCATCTTCAATTTTCTCTCATATAAAATGTTGTTAAACATCAATGTACTTAGTTCTTAAATGGTACTTTGGATTCTTAGCAAATGCAAGACATCCTTGATTGTCACACATTATTGGAGTTGCTTCCAATTGTACTAGTCCAATGTCTTCT